GATAACAGTTGTATGAGCCCCTAATAAAATGTTAAAAAAACAAACAAAAAAACAAAAAAAAGAAAGAAAAAGAGGGAGGGCTTAATTAGGACCTGAACTTAGAGAAAAGTTGCTTCAACAAAGGAAAACCTTTCTTCTAAGACATCTGAACTCTCACCAATGACTCACAGTCAAACTCAAATATGGCGTCCTCATAGACACTGTGGTGACTTGACTTGGGACCCTTCTAGGCTTCTGTTTGCTGTGACAGGCACACAGATCTTGTTCCTTGATCCATTGTTTCCTTCAGACTTGTAAATTTTACCAATCCCTAATCTTTCCCTTCTCATTTTCCTGTGTCTCAGCTTTGCTCCATTTCTCGGCAGCAGAGGTGGGAGGGGCGAGAATCAGATTTCATGTCCCTCCAGACTTCAACTGTGCCGAGTCGGGGGCTGTCAGTCCTCGACTATTGCAGGGAACTTGACACATTAGTGGACAGACCAAATTGCACCAGGGAGATGCAATAATTCTGAAGAGTAATGAATGCTTCCATCTGGCCTTGATTTAAGAACTACATCGATGTTTTAATGTCATTTGTATTTAAAATTCCAATTACTAGGCATTTTAAATAGATTTTCTAACAATAGACCATGGGCACATGCTCACTTCACAAGTTTTTCCAAGATGAGAAATGAGGTGGATGGACCACGTACAAAATCCAATGCCATCTGCTATTAATTCTGTCTTCCTTGCCCTGAGAAGTGATTTGTTGGACTTTACGAGAAGATTTTTTAAATGGTCATAAACTCTCATTCTTACTGCAGGCTTTCAAACGAATGTCTAGTTGAGTAGGAAAATTTTTTTAAGTACTTTCATTTTAAATCTACTTAAAAATGTTAAATAGATGCTGTTTCTTGCTTAAATAAAAAGCCTCTCTTTTTATTTCTTGAAATATATTAAGCACACTTACTTTCTATTTCTTGTCAACATTTCCCAATACTCCAAGTCTGTGTGTGTCTAACGTTCCTGTCTTTCCTTTACTGTCAGCTCTTACTTACGGGGCCTGCCTGATTCATTTTATTTGTCTGCTCTTTACATCTTTCTGGCTGCTCTTCCTTGTGGAGCTCCCATATTTACTTTGTATTTTCTGATGTGAGTCACAATGAGTTGGAATCTACTCAGTGACAATTAGTTTGCTTTTTTGATTCTTGAAACGTCATCTTTCGGAATTCCCTGGATCCTAGGTTTGAGCTGTTCCTCCAGAGAGGGTTTGTTTTGAGCATCACAAATAGGGGCCAACTTTCAATGCTCTTCCTGAAGACTTTTGAACGATGAGGTATGGTGAATTTGATTGACCATTGTATGTAAGAGTACAGGCCACACCAAGGCAATGAATTCTTAAGGAAGATTTACTGATCTAGGTTTACTTCTCCAGCCAGGATCAAGACAGGCAGATTTTGCTGGAGTCCCCTTTAGCATAAGGAGCCCTGGTGGCGCTGTTTGGTAAGATCCAAACTGCTAACCACAAAGTCAGTGGTTCAAATTCATGACAGGGAATTGAGTCGCTCTTCCGCATAATAGATTAATTTCACATTCCCAGTTTTACAGGGAAGGGGCTGGGTCTTATTGCTCTCCTGAATTTGGATAAGCCTGGAGCTTTATTTCTGTCTCTGGACACCTGTCAGCATGGTACCTCCCAGGCATTGACAGATTTCCTAAGAGCCTGTTTGAATCCCAGGGGTCCCCCCTTAACTTTGTCTTTGGCCTCTGGTCTTGCTTGCTTTCTTGCCAGCTCTATAATTCATGAAAAAATAATTTAAATACCAAGTCTTGTCAGCCTGGGTATTCATTACGAGCACTGCTCTGGGCATCTTACTTCGACATGTTCAATGGCGAAAACAAGATTAGATCATGTATAACAATCCATTGCTAAGCAGAGTCCAGAAGCAGTTTCTCAAGGACTGTCATTGCCTTCACTTTCTATTTAGAACAAATCCCGAACTCTCAAGATAGTGGTGGAGTAGAGCAGGAGCACAAACTGGCTCTCAGAAGGAAGGGAGGGGGGAGGGAGGAGAGAAGAAAGAAAAGAGAGGAAGAAAGAGAAAGGGAGGGAGGACGGACCCCGCTGGTTAGTTTGCTGATGTCTTTAGTGTAATATTCCACCAATGGTCCATTTCAAGGAACTAGTTTGATTCACTGAACCGCAGGTTGAGAAGAGATGTCCACGGATGTCTCATGAGCTGGAATGGGTGGCTAATGCCCAGAGGTCCGTCGGGCGAGGTACACAAGGACCTGGGGAGGAGAAGGCGAATGGGGAGCTCATGCCAGTTAACTGCCACAGCCTTGGAGTGGTGCCATTGTGACCATACTTTTCAAGAAGTTCTAGGAAGCTAGCCTGTAGGTGACAAGTCTTTCTTTCTCAATGTTAGCAAAAGACCCCATCCTTTAAAAACCCTAAGGAGTGGCAAAAAAAGCAATCTCGGGGGAACAGAATAGGCTAGACAGGCAGCAGCTCTCGAGCAATTGAGGAAGAGCCCGACGTTATGCTTGCTGCTCAGGTTCCAGCCCCCCCACCCCCACCCCCCAAGTCCTCAGCCAGTGGAGACAGTGCAGAGAGGGTATTGGGAGTGGGGAGAGTGTGTGCCCGACTGTAGCATGCAGTTCAAGTCCAGGGCCTGCTGCTGACTGGGTGGCCTACCCACGGCTGCGCAGCCAGTGCCAGTTCCTGGGGTCTCCTTTGGGATGCCGAGGCTTTCATTTTGACAGAAGCCGTTCCCGGGCCTTAGCAGCCAAGAGCAAGCCAAGCTTGTATCATTCATTCCTGTTCTGGGGTAGGACGTCTTGCTCACTGCCACCGAGCCAGTTCTGACTCGTAGCGACCTTCTAGGATCGAGGAGAATTTTCCCTGCCCGCGGGCTTCCGAGACGAAATCGTTCCGGAAGTGGAAAGCATGCCATCTTTCTCCGTCGGAGCAGCCGGTAGTTTGCGATCGCTAACCTGCAGTTAGCAGCCCCACTCGTAAACCACAATGCCCCTCATCCCTGCCGACGAGGTAGGCTCTGTGGAGCCAACTAGCTATTGGCTCGGCCACCATCCTTAAGCAGAAGTCAATTTGTCACAGCTGCGGGCAAACCCTGGCCCAGGACCCATACCTCAGGGCTCTCAGACTTCACTGCATTCGATTTTCTGGGCAAACCTGAAAACCATCACCGATGCCAGGCCACACCCCCTGAGAGCCTAATTCCGTTGGTCCCACCCGGAGCCTGGGCGGTTTTTCGGAGCCCCTAGCCCTTCCCCTTGTGTTCGTATTCGACGTGCATTCGATTCATCTCATTTCAGCCACATCCTCTATCAATCCTGGAAGGTCCTACTCTTCGTTTATGAATGAGGAACCGAGTGCCAGTGGTTACATATCACACAGCCCCACAGCCACAAAGCTGGTAAGGGAGGGAGTCGGACTTAACCCCAGAGCCTGGAATCTTAACCCCTGTGAAGGGCTGGACTGCTAACCACAAGGCCGCCGGGTAAACCCACCAGCCGTTCCAAGGGGAAAGGAAGAGGCCAACTGCTCCCACAAAGATACAATAGCCCTGTAGGAGGGGGTCGCCTGACTCAAAACGGATTTGATGGCAGTGAGTGGGAGATGTGCCATTTGGCAGGAGCCCTGGTGGGGTAGTGGGTGAGGAGCTGGGCTGTTAGCTGCAAGACTGGTGGTTCAAACCCACCCACCTCTCCAAGAAAGAACCTCCCATCAAGATTTACAGGCTTCAAAACACATGGAGCAGTTCCATTCCACCCTATAGGATCGCTATGATTGGAATTGGCTTGTTGGCAGTGGATTTGGGGTACAACCTTTAGCACTCTTGTGTCTCTACCTTATATGCGAATGCTGAGGTTCAACTACTCCAAATACAGTGCTGACCTCTGTGCCTGGAACCTATTAAGTGACAAATAAAGGTTAGCTATTGTCCCTGGGTAGCACAAAACCAGGCCGGCCCAAAAGGTTGGCAGTTTGAACCCAGGGGTACAGGGGGAGACAGACCTGCTTCCGAAAGGCCACATCCTGGAAAACCCAAGGAGTGGTTCTATTCTACACACACAGCACTGGCATGAGTTGGAATATATGGCATGGTATCTAATAATGTCACCTTGGAATTCTTCCCACTTTTGGAGGTCTATTCCATCCATCTACCTACTGTGGCCATAGCAGGGAGAAGGGGACTCCAACTTCTCAAACCAAGGCCTATTGTTATGAGGTAGAGGTCAGATCTCCGTCCTGTACCCCGGTCCGGCACCTGGCTTTCCTCTCACAGCATTCCCGTCTTCTCTGCTGGGGCTGAGGTCGGTTGCAGTGGGCACACGGAACTCACAGGCAATACTCACAATTATGGGGTTCATCAGGGACGTTGACAGGTGGCCACAAGTCACGATCAGTCAACGATAAGGATACAGTCCTTGGTCCACAGCAACACCTTTCCTCGGCCAGTAGCCACGTTTCTCTCCCGAAGCCTCTTAGCCACGTGGGTTCCTGGGCCTCTGCCGGCCAAACACCAGCAAGCCAGCCGCTGCTCAGCCTCACAGGCTCAGCAGCGCGCCTCTGTTCGGTTGCGTGGTCTCCTTGCCTTGGCCTGGCTCCTGTGTCCTGTCTCATGGTCCCCAGGCCCTAGCTTCTGCGCCTCTGGTCTCAGCCCTGGCCACTGCAGATAGAGATCGCCAACATGCCCCACTGGTGGCTCTCCTTCCTAGATGGCCGGGGGGTTCTCTCGGTCTCTGCTTCCTTCCTGATAACCAGGGGATGGCAACTTACATGGACCAATCCCCTCTATTAGTGTTACTCACACCCTATTCACCTAGTCCCATCCAATCATTTGGCCGAGTTAGAGAGACATGGATAGAAGAGCTATATTAAGAAATTTCACTTCACACCCCCCACTGCATTTTCCCTCCTGACAGAATACATAGTTATCCTCTAATGAACCACTGTACTGAAGTGTGTGTGTGTGTGTGTGTGTGTGCCCACGCACACATAGGCTTTGTCACACCTGGAGGAAGAGAGAGGACAGATGCTCTAGGAGCTCTTGGAGAGGATAGTGAAGAAACCGGTCTGGAATGATGCTTACCGCAAGCTCTTGGTATGAAGCGTTCAATAAATACATTTTCCATATGTGCAGCTTGCTGAGGAGTGCGGGAGGTGGGTGAAGAGGCTAATGAGTGTGTCAGATAAAGGCTGAAGAACATCTTCAGACCTGATATTAGGAATTCTTTTCCTTCCTACTGGGTCATGTTTGTTAGGCTGCTTATGTTATATTTGCATTTCTGGTTTTGTCTTTAGGATGGCCAACACAGCTAAGCCCACGCAAATGAGGCATTGTGTTCAGTCCTTGGGACGCGGGCTCTGAAGTGAGAGGGAGGCTCCGGATGACCTAAGCGGCAGGAGAATCGGGAGAGGACACAGGTGGTGAGTGGAGTAAGTTCAATAGTGCCCTGGCAAACACCTCCCAGGGACAGTCCTGGTGTCTGCCCCCAGAGCCCTCACTGCCAGGTGTTTGCAATGGTGAATTCACGCAGCTTCTTCAGGTAAAACATTAAATGCTTTTTGTTCCCTCAATGAATTTACAAAATGGAGCAGACAACTGCCACCTTAAATCATCTGTAGAAATAAACAGTGTATATAATAAGATGGGAATTTTGACCCCCCAAAATGTATATCAAAGGTGGTTGTGAGGTGCCTTGTAGTCGGTTGCAATTCATGACAATAAAACACAATAAAGCAGTGCTTGGTCCTGTGTCATCCTTACAACTAGTCCTGTATTTGAGCCCACTGTTGCAGTCAGTATGTCCAGTATGTCGACCCATGTCATTCAGGGTCGCCCTCTTTTTCACTGACGTGGTGCTTGGGGAAGGCGCAGGGCAGTGCAAAAGGGGGAGACCTTCACAGGATGGACCGCACAGTAGGTGCCTCGATCGGCTCAAACACAGGAACCACTGAGGATGACACTGGGCCCAGGGCCGGGCAGCCTTTCATTCTGTTGTAGACAGGGTCGCTATGCGTCGGCACCTACCTGACACCTACAGCTAACGACAACTTTACCAAGCACGATGTCCCTCTCTTTCCTGATAACAGATTTAAGGTACATGCAATGAAATCTTTCCGTCCTTGCTTCCGGGGCAATCTTTTGACAATAATTCTTCCAACACTGGCTTGCGTCCGTTCTGGCAGTCCAAGGCATGTTTAATATTCTTTGCCAACATCATAAGTCAAAGACATAGAATCTTCTTGGGTTGTCCTTATTCATTACCCAGCTTTCATATGCATATGAGGTGACAGAAAATACCTTGGCTTGGGTCAGGTGCACCTTAGTTTTCAAAGGGACATTTTTGCTTTTCAACACTTTAAAGGGGTCTCCGGCAGCACATTTGCACTTGTTTCCTTCGTAAACAACAACTCTATATGCTCAGCTTGAATGAAGTGGAAGGAAGAGGTGAAATTCCAAGGCAGCCTCCTCGGGGAAAGCAAAAGTAAAGCCACTCGGGACCCCAAACGTCCTGAAAGTGCTGTCCACACGGGCAATGGACCAGGGCAAACCTTAAGGAAAGACACAAAGCCACAGGGTGATGGTTGTTGCCATCTGACATTTTCATCCTCAACGTATTTGCAACTTCTCCAACACTTTATTAGAATATGAACTTTTATCTTTTCTTGTACTGCTTTTGACTCACAAAATATTTAACTCCATACGTGGTTTACCCTTACCATGATGACTCTAAGCTCTTTGAAGGAAATAGCTCTCTCTTGCCTCCTGCTCTGCTCCCCTCTCACAGTGGGCTCATAATTTGATTAATACAGAAACATGCCCAGTCTATGGAATCTTTCATTCTTCCACTTAAAAAAAATGCCCTTGGGTTATACATTTTGTAAATGGTTATACTCCGCATGTTCATAGTGAAAATGGCAGGGTCCAGAGCCTAGCCAGGGTAAACACATTCTTTTTACTTCTGCAGACCTGCATTCTATTGGTACAGGGTTGTTTCGATTTGAAGAAGATAAAGACGAGGCTTCTTTTAGTGTTTTCCTAAGTATTTCAGGCAAGCAACGGAACGTTACTTGGATTTTATGCTGCATCACGGTGCAAAACCATACGATCCCTGGAGTGGGTGATGCAGCCTTCTTTCTGCGAAGCTAAATACAGACGCCAGGCAATAGGTCCGAACTCATTTGGCTCCAGAGCAGGACCATCTGAAGTTCAGAGTTGGCATGGCACACCATAGCCCACACGGCCAGGACGTAAACCAAATACAGACCGTGGGCTTCTCGGTGACGCAGGCCCACAAAAGGAGAGGGATCTCACACAGCCTCTGCGACCTCTGGGCTCTCCTCACCCCAAGGCAATCCTAACCGGCAGGCGCGCATTCGGATGTGGCAGAGCCTCAAGCCTACAAGATGAGCACGTGTGGACTGGGGGTAGTCGCAGCAAAGGGGCGATCGAGCAAACCACACCACACTGGGGGCCCAGTTCACCCCAGCGAATGCACCTGGGAGTAAGCTCCCCAGCGATTTCTGCTCCGGAACTCGAAGCCGCGGTGCTCGGCCTGGAGCCGGAGGCTTTGTTTCCCTAACGTGACAGCGCCCGCGGAGCAGGCAGCGTGACGCGGCGGTAACACGTCCTCCCCGTGGCATCCGGAGCACACGCGCGGCCCGGTGTCAAGCTCGCCAACCCGGGCCTCCAGCTGCGCTGGAAGCGCAATGTGGGGACAGCCTCTCGGCCCAGCGAGCAGGCCCCGCCGCGTCCCCCAGGCAGCGCGGGCGGCTCCACACGCCCGCCACTCGCCGCGCAGTCAGCACAACATTCCATTTAAAAATAACACCCACGTGCGCTGGTAAACAAGCGCGCGGCGGACGGGGCCGCGCACCCCGGGCGAGCATGTGCGCGCGCCCCTCCGTCCTCCCGCACGTGTCCGCCGACTCCGCCCGCGTCGCCCAAACGCTGCTGTCTCCTCCCCCTCGGCGGGCCGCGGACCGCCCCTCGCGCGGACGCTCCGGGGCCCTAGCGTCCCCCAGACTTACAGGCGCACACGGCGGAGTGCTCCCCAACTTTCCTCCCCCGGCTTCTCCTCGCCGCGGCGGGACCCACTGCCCCAGGTCGGCTTTCTCCCCGCCTCCCCGGTCCTCTCACGGCCCTCCCGATTAGCCCTCCCTCCGGCAGCCGGCGAAGGATGGGCTCCAGGCTCGCCCTCTCGCTTTCTCCTTTCCTCCCACCCCTCCTGCCTTCCTTAGAATTTTACTCGATTGTTTATTATTTGCTGGGGGCGGGGGCGGGGGGCGGAGAGGGGCGTCTGGGCCTGGAGATTGCTGGCCGCGGCCAGTCAGCGCGCTACGTGGCTTGACGGGTAAGCGGCGCAGCGAATGGCGGCGCGGCGCAGAGCTCCTGGGTCACGCGCGTGTGGATACAATGACATCATCTGTTTGTACGCGTCGAACTAGCTTGGTGCAGGGGCGGGGCCGCGCGTCACTTGAGTGACGGGCCCTGCGCAAAGCCCGGAGCCCGGATTGGTGCCGATGGGCGTACTCTTTTGAGTACGCTCCATTGGCCCTTTTTGTGTATCGGGTTGTTGTGGAGCCGGATTCCAAATCTCTGAAATAATCTCTGGTGGTTTAGAAGGATTTTCTATAAGAAAAAAAGGCATTTATGGACTCAAGTGGGCAGACCTTTTGTGTGCGTGTTGCCTGCAGTGCATTCTTAATGCACAAACCACAAATGAGCGATTTGGGTACGGGACGTGGTGAGGTCTTCTGAAGATGGTCTTCTAACCCTAGAAGAATATCTTCCTTTTTGATATGCCACCTAGGTGTTTTAACGTCCATTAAAAATTCAAAATCAAATTATTTCCCATTCATTATTGTTTAGAAGCTGCGCTTGCGTTCCGGAATGAGGAATGATTTGCTTTTCTTCTGAGTTAATTCTGCTGCTCCCCATTCGTCCTGACATCCATTAAAAGTGAATGGATCTTTCCCCTTGGTCGAGCGTACAAGGTGAGACTCAGTTGGTTCCTGGTCAAATCTGAGGGCATCAAGTTTATCGAAGTCCTGTAAGCACTAACATCATCGTTTGCCAGCCTTTCCACGCGAGGTAACCCTGGCCATCTGCGGTCAGCATCTTATCTCGGGTGTTACCTGGTGTCGGGTTCTAATGGGGAACCGGACACCAGGGCGGGCCCGGAGCCGGGCGAGTGGACGCGCCTGCCGGGGACCCCCGTGCCAAGAGTCCTGCCGAGCCTAGGAGACCACGCCACAGAGGGTCGTTTAGGGCGCTGCGCTTGCAGATTCCCTCCTCGCTTTGTTGCCGCTGCAGCCCCCGGGGAGGGAGAGAGGGCCCCTGCCCCGCAGCGCGCGCCCCGACACCCACGCCCGCAGCCCCGCGGGGCCGGGCCGCACGGGTGCGCGCGCGGACACACGCACAGCAGCACACCCGGCACACACGCACGCACAGCAGCACACCCGGCCCGCCGCCCCAGCCCTCCCCCTGGGCGGGGATCCGCCCGCCCGCCGTCAGCTTAGGTTGAGGCTCCCTGCGTGTGTCTATAACTTTGTGTGGCTGCCGCGGCCGCCTTGCTCGCCCGAGAAGAGGAGGAATGTGCACGGCGGCGGCGCGCAGGCTGACAGGCGGCTCCTCGGGCGGGCTGCGGCGGCGGTCCGAGCGTCTCCCCTGGGCGGAGGCTGCGCGCCCCCTCCTCGCCGGATTGTGTGTCCTCCCGCCGCGCCCCTGAAGGGAAGGAACCGAGGTAGGCGCCGGAGCTGTGCAGCGGGGCGGCCGCCTTCCCTCCCCGTGACTCCGGATCTGCTTCCGAGCTGGGCCAGGCGCTTCCCTTTTGCCTTGCAGTGACTCGGTGTGTGCGCCCCCCACCCCCCGTTTTCTCCCGCTAGTGTTTTTAAAGGACTTGAGTGAAGGGAGAGAAACTGTCAAGATGGCAGCAGCGGGAGCAAGGAGGTGATGAACGCGCTGGCCCGGGTTTTCTCGAAGCCCGGGAGACTTGGCGCTTTCCGACCTGTTGGAAGATTTATGCTCCGATTTGCCCCTTCCTTTCGCGTTCCTGGGGCTGAGAGGGGCGGGGGCCACACGTCCTCGGATTGCTAACCGCACAGAACCTCAGTGACCGATCCTGCCCGTCCGCCGAGCTTCTTGTCCCCCTGCGTTCCGTCTTTTTTGTGTGTGCAAGTGACCCACGGTCGCCCTCCCGGCCCGCGGGCGAAGGCGGGGGTTGAAAGGAGCAGCTCGCGCCGTCCCGGGGCTTAGGCCCCTCCGCCGGGTGGGGGGCAGCCGCGGGTGGGGGGCGGCCGAGGCGGCAGGGTGGGGAAAGGAAGAAGAAGAGCCTGAGACGCCACAGACTTTGGCGGCGCTGCCGCGGGAGGCACTGGAGCGGGCCCGAGCGAAACATAAACAAACGCACGCACGCCTGGCCCGGGGCTCGGACCGCCGCGGGGCTGCGCCAGCCGGGGCCGCTGCCCACTTGAAAGGCGCGGCCCGCGCCCCTCCCCCGCGCCGCCCCCGCCCCCTCCGCGCCCCGCCACCTAGCCCAGGAGAGACCTGCAGATCTGGCGACAGGGGGAGGGGGCTGCCCCGTGCGAGCCTGGCGATTCGCTCTCCTCTCTTCCGCGGCCTGGCCAGGGGGCGGTGTCTGCTGCGCCAGGTTCGCGAACGCACGTCTGCAGGTCCGTCGGCCCCTGCTCGTGCCCCTGCTCGTGCTCTTGCTCGGCGGGCGCCGCGCGAGGACTCGGCTCCGGCCCGGGATAACCAATTCTCCTTCTCTCTCCTCTCGTGCTTCC